CAACAACTTTACGGTTACGTAGAGACGCATTTGCAGGTTTAATACCTTGATACTCTGTATTACCTTATAATGTATTCGTTATTTCACAACCAACGGAAGCGGATTTCGAAAAAACTGGTTTTTCCTCTTCATGGTTAGTTACTGACTTTTGAGTATTTTTTAAATTACTAGTTTCTAGTCTAATTATAATAAACATACACTCTAGTGTATGTAAATAAGAATTGCCATCAATTCAACTTGAACATAAATTTAACGTATATTAGAGATGTGTATACTCAAGTAAATATCTTTTTTTTACATCCTTTTTAACTCACGAAATGATTCAAATTTTTTATATATTCTCTCACTTCAATCCCTGCAAGAATTTTAGAAAAATACATATCATATTTCTTTAAACGTTATTCACAAAACTTATAACCTTACATGAATACATCTATTTGATTTGAAATAGAAAAAAAATTCACATATAACGAGTACAACTCCCTCCCATCCTAAAAATAGCTGAGTAAAATTATCTCCCGTTACGAACATAAACATAAAAAAGTAATGGTTTTTCAGTTAGAAGATAGAATTTGTCGCGAAACATAAAGCATTAATGCGTTTCGCTTATCGCACCATAGATATTTATGCTATGGTTTGAATGGTGCCTGGAAAGTCAGTAGATGAACAGTTCAAATGAATTAACACAGAGACCTCGTAAAAACAATCCAAGGCGGAGCCAAAAGATCAAACGATTTAATACAGAGACCTCGTAAAAAACAATCGAACCGGAGCCAAAAGATCTTCTGGATGAAATATCGTAGGTTCAAAATTGGAATGGTAGGTATCCCGAGCAGGAAATCCGCTGTGGAAGGGGTGATATCTCTGATTTAGATATCACCGTGGGTTCAGATTTCCATCGGTGTTGTTTTACGTTATTCCTGTTGAGAGAAATGATACATTGCGCGGAAGGCACATAGTTTGCTAATATAGATTGGCCGGCTACCCCTATTTTACCAGAATAACTATCACAGGCTACCTCACCAGAAGAACAAACAAGGACTACACTATTTTTGTGTGGAGCACCATCAGATCGCTCGGACCATTCGGCCGAAACTTTCTGAGAGCGATTGGTTGGGCTGTTTTGGCAAAAATCAAGTTATATCATAATTAAAGATTGGAATATAAAATTCATAAAAATATACAACTTTTTTATGTGATTTCTTTGGCCATCGACCGGACATTATGAATTTTGTGTTCTCTTTAAGTGAAGTTGTGCTTTAGTTTGCTGGACAGTGGACATCAATTGTTGACAACTTTAAGCACTCACTGACTTCTAAATTTTTTGTCATTTGATGATTTCAACTTTCTATAGTTCATTCAAGTATGTGCAACAAAGTTGCAAAAATGTCTCACTTTTTTTCGTGATTGATCATGAAAGAATCATATCATAAAAAGAAACATCTTTTAAGTAAGTTGAATCAACTCGTCTTCAAAAATTTAAAGATTTAGAAAATAAAAATAAAAACAGGAACAATAAATCGACTTCCTAAAAAAGAAGCAGCAAATTTAAAAAGACAATTAGATCATTTACAAAAGTATTTAGGTGGCATTAAATACATGACAAGTTTACCTGATATTGTTATTATTATTGATCAACAAAAAGAATTTACAGCTATTCAAGAATGTATAACTTTAGGAATTCCGACAATTTGTTTAGTTGATACAGATTGTGACCCAGATATGACAGACATACCAATTCCTGCCAACGATGATGCTAGAGCTTCAATTAGATGGATTTTAAATAAATTAACATTAGCTATTTGTGAAGGGCGTTATAATTCAATAAAAAATTAAAAAAGATAAAAAATCATTACTACTTTCTAATAAAAAAATAGATTAAAATAATAACAAATCTTTTTTCATTTATTCTTATACGAAAAAATTGTCTTATAGTATTTTTATTTTATTTTTGAAGGAGTAATATGTCTCATACTGCAGAAATGGTTAGCACTTTCAATAATTTTTACGAAATATCAAGTGTCGAAGTAGGTCAGCAGTTTTATTGGCAATTAGGTAGTTTTCAAGTTTTCAACATTTTTATTGGCAAAAAAGTCCAGTAACCGAAAGCAGCACTAGCTTAGGCTCTAACCCGAGTAGCATGGGGCACGTGGAGTCCCGTGTGAGTCAGCAAGGACCTTTCAAGTCATTCAAGCTAACATTTAGATTGTATATACATAATCATTTTCAACAACTTTATTTGATCTTTATATCCTGGCAAGTGTTTGCAAATCTACAAAGAGATTTTTATTTTAATAAATTCTAAAAACTTGTTACTCTATACAATATCTTTTCCTGACTAATTCTTTGGTGCTATTCCAACTAGGCATGTAATAAGTTTCTCTGTCGATCATTAGAATGTACAATTTTATCTTTTCAGATTTTAGAATTATTTTGAGAAATTAAAATCCAAAATTTAGGATGAAATGGAGATCAAAAAAGTTATTAATATGGAAAACCTCTAGCTGCACTGCGAATGTCTTAGTATGAAGATAATCAAACTTGTGTGAATGAGTTAATTGAAATCTGCTACAACATGAATATGCCATGTGGTGAGACGCTTCATTAGTAAGAAACATAGTAACAGTATGTGAATAAATGTAATGAAAGAAATCAAAATGTTTACTATCATTATCTTGTCATGATATAATTCAACTATCGAGTTTGTATATGGCAGAGTTCTCAAAATATATTCTACAAATCGTGGATGAGCATTATCACTTTGTCTTTTATCACAGATTATTTCAAACCATGAGATTTTCTGTATTGATTGGATTAAATATATGATCAATTGAAATAATTATAAATTTGATCAAATGGCAAACTTCACTTAGAAATTTTTTAATCTTCGAAATGGCATATATCGCATAGGGACATGGAACATTTAGACTTGCTAGAAGTTCCCTTGTCTAGGCTCTATGTGCTGGAAAAGATGGCTATATATAACGATGTAGTGAGATAAATCATGGCTATCTGGCAATGTTCATCATTTTTGTCTTCAAAGATGTAAATTCTAAATACCCAAATATCAAATGTACTCTTATATAATCTTTTCACTTATCATCCTCCTATGACATTTGATATACTTATCATGGGTGAAATCATTTCTTGTTACAAAGATATATCTAAACATGTTTGAAATATTACATTCTATATATTTCATATATATGATTTCAGATTTTATCAAGATTTAATCTTAAATATGAATGATGATTATTATTTAATAGTTTTTTATTCTTTACATATTATCAATCTTCCTCATACCAGTAAAAAAAATACATCACATTAATCTTCTTGGATTGTCTATATGTTTACTTCTTTTTATGTTGAGATTGAATTGTATATTGAAAACTTTACGATATCCAACTTGAAATTTAGTGGAGCTTGTTAATATTAATTATGCATCCAGCCGATCAAATATCTAATTAAAAATTTATGAATAATAATGTAATGAATAAATCTTAAAATTTTATTAAAAATTATCTTAGTTATATTCTCCTATAAATTTTAAATATTGTTCTGTGAGTTATTTCAATCAACAGTAAACAGTTAAATATGATCATAACTACACATTTTTATGTTAAAAATAACCAACATTAATTTTAATACAAGTCATAGAGATATAGAGAAAAATACTAATTAATATTACCTACATAGAGATCGACTATGTCGCTCTCCACTTCACATACTATGACAAAATAGACAAAAAGTCCTGTCTATTGTATTGTTTTGTTCATACCATGGATAACACAATTTTGCTCTTAATTTTATATAGTATATTAAAATAGGGCGAATTTTTTATCGGTCACTCGTGGGGAACACAAATCAATCAACGCAATTACATGTATACTCTTGGATATTCTACCCAACGGTAACTTGAAACTCTTGCAATCCTGGTAGCTTGTCCCTACTTATCCTTTGGTCGTCTCTGCATAGTCATGCAGAGGAAATGCCATGGAAAGCTGAGAATTCTCAGTCTTTCAACTTTGTAATCTCCAAGTGTTTTGTGAATAATATGTCTACCTTCCATCAGATGTTTGACTATAATTCTATCAAGTATACAAGGCAGCAAAATGTGAGATGGACATTATTGTGAAATGAATTTTTACCATATAATATAAAAAAAATTTACGGGGTAACAGAGAATAACTTGAAGGGAACCCATCAGAATGGGTAAGTTTTCGATCCAATCTTTTTTATTTTACTCGATAGGACTTTCCGACGGCAGTTCAGTCCACTGATGTTCTACTGCAAGTTCTTGTAATTGTATTGAGTCCAGGGTAGGAAAAGTACTGCGGCTCTTTGTTGAAAAGTGACTTCTCCCCACACAAGCATTTGGTCCATGAAATGCTTGCGTGGGGAGAAGTCACTTTTCAACAAAGAGCCGCAGTACTTTTCATTGACCAAATTACGTGACTTCAACCAAAAGTTTTAGAAAATTCGTTTTGGGTCGTAAGATATTGAGCTTCTGCATTATGAAGATTGGGAGCCATGGGAAATCTTACCAATTTAACTTCGGGAAGAATTTCTTTTTTTCATTGAAGTCGAAACAAAACAGTTACAATAACATTATGAAGGTCGATTGTGAACGTCGGAGAGTCCCACAGGGTAAAATAGAAAATTGGATGAAGACGTCCATGTTGCAAAACATTCATAGACTTGATTACATAACCGACTTGGAATAAATATTAGTGTCGAAAATGTTGGAAACGGAGAAAATGAATACAGAAACTGAATGAAAATTCGTTTGTAATTTCACTTGGAATCATACAACCAAATCAATCAATTGCATTCAATTCAGAATTTACGGTGGTAAGTTTGAGACTAATGATTGGTAATCTATCGGGTCAGTGGACTACTCCATTTCATGTACAAATTTATCTTTAATTTACGCAAGTGAATTTCATAAATATAAAATATTGAACACCAACTTTAAATACATCCTACACTATATTACAGTTCGCACATGTAAACAAAAGATAAAAATGTTCACTTCATCTGCTGCACGTATAAAGAACTCGCAGCATTCCTAGTATGGTCCAACCTGTGACTCGTTACCCAATACTATATTGTGAAGTACCTAACAAATGTTTCAACCCAGGGCGTAACTTCAAATTGGACATGCATAGCCCGCGTAACGACTTTGAGAACAATTATGACTGACTGATATGTCCACCCTCCTGGGTCACAATATTGGCCCCTGCTATCTCAAAATGGACAATGCCGAATTCAATAAAATGGACATGTACATGTAAAGTCTAAGGGCTGCAAGGTTACTTGAAGAGGAGTGTTGTGATTATCTCTATGCTCTTACAGATACAATTAGGAATCTCCACGTAAGGGAGAGGTGGTCGAGAAGATAAAAAGAAAAATTGTTCTTGATATCCTGCTCACACAGATAACTCACGGCCACAGTATATGGACGTGCTAGGATCAAACTACGTGAGTTGACCTCCCTACATGTATCGGCACACACCTCCCTACACAACTTCGGCATTTATATGAGCAGGTTAATGTCAAAATTTAATGACCCCACAACCTCAATTCCTGTCTTATCACGTACTTCTACTGCTTTGAACATTTCTACAGAGGATTCCGGTGTATTGAGGAAAGGGTGCAATTTCATGTCTCTACAAGGGACTGAGTGTACATGATACCCATCATTTCGATACTACTGAAACCCGTCATAGAAGAGAGATAATAGCTCATTGATTTTCACAAATGTGACAGGGCGGTTGCATAACATTTGACAAATGCATCACGCTCCTCCCTGTCTACTAAAATTTGAAACCTGTAACCCCAACTGTAACTCCAGCGGCGACATTCCACCTTTTGTACATGCTTCCAATGGCTCATTTCCTGTTAACTGGATCATGACTCCTTCCAGAAGCTGACTCGGTAGGGATGTACTTGTACTCTACAAGTAAAAATCATGACAATGATATAAGATATGTGTGAAAAACACCAAATTTCAGTAAATATCTCAAAATACAATGCATAAGGCAGCTGAAAGCGGAAAAACATTGGAATAGGAAAGCAAATGCTTCTACAACTGACGATTCCAAAATATGATAAGCTGTACGTAAGAACATGCCCAGATCTTTGGCAAGAAGATTGGCATGAAAAGAAGGACTGGACAGAGAAAAGTGTGGAGGCTACTTTCACATTTTTTCTTCTATGACCAAAGCTTGATACTTGAACGTCGAAACTTTGGCAAACTTTTGACCTATTTCGTTATGAGCAAATGAAAAAGAAACAACGTTGTAAACAGATCAGTACATAGAATTTGACTAGGACTAAAAAATTTATTGACAGAGAGCAGGAAGAGTGAACAAATCTCTATTGATTGCCATTGAATCTTCCCATTGATCCCTTCCAGCCAAGAGCAGGTCTTCTGCGATGAGCGTGTCTCCCAGTCTTACAAGACAAGACCCCAAGAAAATAACACTTAGAAGAAAACTGACGTACCGAATGCGCTACATCTAAAAGGAATGAAAATATATTTGGGAAGGAAGACACAGTCAAATGAGGATCTCTAACTGCTTCAGAAACCGTGTAACAAATTCCATGACAGCAAACACTACAGTAACCAATCTGAACATTATGACTAAGAACAAATAATTAAACCGGACTGGACATCTGCCAAAAGGAACATTGTTAAACAGTAAAGTGTTGTATCTCGGCTGCAAAGACTTGAACTCGGCTTGTTATATTTTAGTAATCCAAGTGAAAAGTGAGGATAACGAGAAAGCAAGTATGGAAACTGCCAGAATCCAATCCAATCCAAGAAATCCGCCTCTGGAGAAGCATAACCAACAAGATTCATGGTCGTGAGTTACTATTTGAGAGGGAGGATAAAGCAAGGACCAAAAATAGAATACGTAAGCAAACTGTCAATCTAGTGAATCCTGAAACAGGGAAACATAACTAACAAGTATGGCTGTAACAATTCAACCACATTCCTGCCCCTAGCATGTTGCTCAACAATAAGAGCACCTAAAGAAAACACGGATACAAGAATGCAATCTCTTACGCAAGGTTGAGGGTCGATTAGGTGGTGCATTCTGAGAGAAGATATTGCATTCAACACTCATATCTACACTCAACGCACATCTCATGTCCGACAGATGTAACATAATGCTAAACCATGAACGCGTGAAAATATGAGGACATGAAAACAACATTCAAGGTAATCGATATTTCACAGCCAGCCTTAAGGAATATCAAATCAGCTGGATGCCTTTCTCCTGCACCGTGAAGTGAGGCCACAAGTAGCTGCACGTCACAATTTGATCCAAGACTAACTCCTATGAAAGTTCCAGAAGCAAAAACAACAGGTAATCAGGTCACCACTTCAAAATGAACATAAAGATTTTGTCTCACAAAATCTTGACTGTTCTCTGCCAGCCATGTTCACGTCCAGCGCTAACATTTGTTCAAGCAAAAAAAACTGCACCTCAATAAAAGATGGGTACAATGACAGACTTAGAGTTCGGGCTTTTTTCTTTTACTGAGTTAAATGAGGATTAACTGAAGATACATATCAAGTTTTTGGGTAAGATAAGGCTACAAACACAGTGGAAAATTACCTGATGTCAAAACTAATTTACAATTTATGCTCCTTCCACCCAGTTAGGGATGTTGGCAGTTGCCTCGTTCACCGCTTGCACCAAAGTTACCTGGCAACAAGAGAACACAGGGTAACATTTGCAGTCAACAACAATAGGCAAGTAAGATATTATCGTTTAGCATGAGTAGCAAACCAGTGGTGATGCAATACCAGATGCTTGTATTGGCAAGAGTCTGTCAACGCAGACTGTGATACCTACCCCACCTCTTCATGTACATTTCTGTCTAGACTCTCAGCCTTGGCCCAAAGCATAGATGACTGTCAAAGAGTAACGCAAATGGACCGACGGGTGGATTTCTTTCTTGCTAAGGCATTTGCACCAATATAAACAAGGCCATCGGATTGACTGGAATGCATCAAGACGAAGTGACGCATACCACACTCTCTGGAACTCCTGGAGGTGGCATTGGAAGATTTCTTGGAGGTGCACCACGAGTAAAAGATCTTTTGTCGAATCTCCACTCACCGATTTTGCCGTATGTCAACTCACCCTACTCACACAATCAGCAAGCAGTAAATCCTTCTATTTTTTGCAGCATGATGTATACAACTGTGTTGATGATGAGATATTGATGAAATGAAGGTTTCTATAACATAAACTCCAAATGCAAACCTGATATAAATAAACTCAAGTATGTCAAGTTGATAAAGAAGTGCTCGGAAATCAAGATTTGGCCACTCAAAGCACGGAAACTTGAGACTATAATCCGTGTACGTCTATCACTAAGAGTATACTAAGTATTCCTTCTTGGAGTAATAATTACCTTCAAGTTGTAATCACAGCCATATGTGTAATGGATGATGTACTTGTCTCCAATCTCAGTGTCCCAAGGGGGCTGCAGTTTTTTTTTCAAAATTTCTCTTGTGAGATGAGAGGAAAGTGGACTGTAATTGATCCAATAACGTACATACGTCCACAAGTATAATAGTGTCACAATTAATCATCAGATTTCATACCTGAAGCATAAAATCCTTGCGAAGAATATGCTGAACACCATGTAACGCCGATGCTGTTGCGTAGCCATACCTGAAATGATATAAAACTTCTTTAGTTAGATTGCAGGTAAATTGAATGAAGTAACCAATCAAGGCACACGATTGACCTTTAGAGATTTCCATTCCACAGTTACATTGCTTTTGTACGATGTAAAATTGACAGGGCTTCTGTGATGTGGCGAGAGTTTTCATACATTTCAAGAACCCAACCAAATTTCTCATCGGCTTGTGGATCGTCTTTCATGGCGATAGAGACGTTTTGCCATGTTGGTGCAATCTTCATGAGCTGAGACTGCAAACATGAAGGAACAAACACAAATTTACAACTTTGCACTTCAAATTTTGAGAAACGCCAGTATAAGTTTCCACTGCGTGGTCTGCACCGAAATTACGTCGGGGGTGTCACGCAAAGCTTCTCCCATTACCTTCTTGATAATTACAGGTGAATTGCCAATAGGGTCAATATTGGTAATAGGCCCTTTCTCCTTCGGAAAAAATTTCCGAAGCACAGCTTCATTGTTTGCAGGCTCAATGTAGAAGAACGGAAACGCAGCTGGCAGATCATCAGTTGCCAAATTCGGTAATGGTTTCACCAAAATGTGATCAGGCTCGGCCATCAGGATATAGCTGACAAAACATACGGACAGAATCAGAAAGAAGCGTAATTTGACAAGCAGGTGGTTGCAATGTGCTCTTGTCCACAGCCATCAAGTAGTGTGATGTGGAGGTAGGTGTTCGACACAGCAAAATCTATCTTCTTCCAAGTAATGCATTCACGATAGTGCCACGAATTAGACACTTAAACTCCCCATCTTCTTCCAACTGACTTACTCTTCCTCAATGTTTGCTTTCCGAAGCCACTGCACAAATGCCCACGGCCGGTTAAGCACGACATAACCCTGCAATCACAACAGGATCTTTCTTTAGTCCAGAGTTTCAACTGTGGCAGGAGGTCTGTATGGTCCACATCAATGTGGCTATGACCTGATCATCCTTTTCTCGTCCTTCAAGCAAGCAACGAAAATCAACACCTTCAGATCCAAAGCACTGAGGTACTTACGACATCTCCGGTAGGGCTCTCACCTCCGGCCTCAGTATCCTTAAGGGAAACATAAACCAAAAAAGACTTAATAGTGCCCGCTAGTTCGACTTCTTCAAACAGCCAAGAAAATGCATTCCATTTACCTCTTACTTCTCAGAAATGTATCAAAGAGCAGTAAGAATAAAAGCCAAACTCCGCCGTCGAAGTAACAGATTTAAACTCCACACGTAATACTCTCATGTCCGTCTTTCAGACACTATCCAACTTTCCTCTAAATGTGGTTCATTTTGAAAGTTGTTGCCTCGCGAGGCAAAGGAGAGCATGCAAGCAAGGGGCCAGCAGCGTCGACATGACATTCCTTCAGCTGGTACCGACATTTATCAGACCAAGAACTGGAATAGATCGCATGCATCGGACTGATCAAACGAGCACAGCTTACCCTGTCTTCGCCAACCGGAAGCGGATCAACGACAAAAGTCGGGATTTCATCCATTACACTATCGGGAAACCCTGAGTGAAGAACTCTTGTGAATCCTCCCATCTCTGATCCCGGCAAGTTTTGGAGCTTCTTATAATGATAATACATAATCCGACACTGCCATCGATTGTACGGTGAGTCATTGGCTGTCACAGCGGTATGAAAAAGCCGTTTCTTTTTCGTCCCTTGCCTAATGTGGTCGGGCATTTTGACAAGAGGGTCGAAGAACTTAGCCGAATCTTCGTTCCCATCCTCTCCATCACCGTCACTCTTCGACCCATAGGTGGCTATCATTGATGCGGTGTTGTAAGTGGCAATACATAGCGCAAGCGCCACAATGATCAGGAAGGGATATGTGACGCGCCTCATTGTGTCTACCGACAGTGATCCACGAGTCTCGAGATCTATCGCTCAAGCCCTCCTGTTCCCACTCTACTCCCCTCCCCGCTTTCCTCCCTCACCTCCTTCCTCCCGTCCACAGTAATCCTCCCCTCACAAGCTCTTTCTTCGACCACTTCTGCAAGAGCACAACCTACAGCACTCCTCCCGAGTCCTGGTGGCTTCTCCTGCTCTTCCTCTTCGCCTTACTCCTCCTCCTCCTCCGCCTCCTCCCTCAACTACGACATCCACCATCGCCAATTCCCTCCGAAACACCACCATTTCCCGTCGTTCAAAAAGCCAATTTCATCTTCGCCCCGTGCTCCGACTTATTCCCTCGCTGGACTCCGCATCAATCGACCGCCCGAAGCTCCGATGGCCCTCGCTCAATGAAAGTCGAGCCGAGCACCGCCTCCCCGATGCTGATCGAATGAATGCCTTCCTCTCTTTCACTCGCCCGGTCTCGTCTCTCCTCCCCTTCACTTCCCTCGGTCTGCGCTCCACGCTCCGCCTCAGACTGGACCGGAGTCCCTCGACGGTCTTCTGACGTGGCACGCGGCCACTTCAGCTCCCGGTGCGACCATTCGCCGTCCACGACCACGGTTACGGCATTCAACCGCGCTCCGGGCATTCATACTTGGCAGCCAAGAACCGCGGGTCGAATCCTCCCGTCCGATCAGCATCTACGGTTAGATCGGAGCCAGCTCGTCCGACGTCTCGGTCGCTCTGGCACGGCGCTCGTGCCCAACGGGCCAATCTCCACCCGGTCTCCGGTGCTTTTGGTAACCATCATTCCACTTTCACCGGCTCCGAATTTACCGTGCGCTAGTTAAGCGGCTCATCCATCTCACGGTAGCTATTATAAGCTCCCGAGAATTATCTATCCTCTTTCTTCCTTTCTTCTCATGCCTCGTTCCGCCCTATAGAAGCTTCATAGATTGCTATCCTGCAGACCCTCGTATCGTACGACGGACAATCTGGTCCGTCTTGAACCTGCGGTCGCTCTTTATCCGAATCCGAGAATTTTCTTTGATCGCCATGGCAGCACGACAAGGGAGCAAGCGACGATCCACGTCCGATGGCGATGGTGACGTTCGACGGTCCAGATCCAGGAAGACGGCACATGAGGACCTCTAACGACTCGCGGAGATAAGTCGCAGGAAAGAAGATCCGCGCGTTGACGGCACGTCTCGGGGACTACCGGACGAGCAAGTATTCTGAGCGATGTGCCATGTGGAGGACGGGATTTCACGCTTTAGGGTAGGTGATGGCCTTTTGGGGTTGACTTGGAACCGGGAGTAGGTCACTGATTTGCTGTAAGTCTCGCCCTGTGACAGTCGGTTCCATCGCAGGCAGGAGTTCGGCAGAGGCGATCCCCCGGAACATCATTTCTTGACAGGATTGAGTGGAGACTCGGCGCCCCAGCCACCAGTTAATAATCAATAATTCGTCGGTGTTTCTAGTCACATGACTTTCGCGCATCGTACTATATGGAACAGTCGTCGTATCTATCAACCATTCGATATATGTCTTGGTGCCGCTGAGCGAACAGTCAGAATCTATCTCATTAATTGTGCGTGTGCTAGATAGCTCCGGTGTGGTGGGATTCTCCCTCCTCTCTCTTTCTTTGATTTTTGTAACTAGGAGTCTTGAGAAGTAAAAAACTGACTTCGGCAATTTTCTAGTTCACGACGTTTACAGCAATGTGACTCTCCACGGATCCATAAAAATCTGAAATACCAACGCATCAGGATTATGTCCTTGGGAAATTGGAGATGGCTTTCGAACAAAAAGAAAACTTCCAGAAGAAACTTCCACACCGGCCAAATATCTAAATTGTTTCACATGATGAAACATGTGACAAAGTTCATTCTTATGATGCACTCACATGCTGTATCATTGTTGGAAATATACTATCCTGTTCATGACACTGTAATTTCCACAACAACTGGGTTCCCTCAACTTTCTCATCCGTCCATGATCCTTTTCCTTCGATTTCCCTCGGCTCTAACTTAGAAAAATAATCTCATTGAATTAACAAACCTTCTTATGGGATAAAAAAAAAAACCCCCCAATCAAGAAAAGAGAAATACCAAGTGTCATCACAATGTGAATTCCTAACAGTAAAAGATTGCAACCATTGTAACCGTGCAGTCTGCAAGAGAGTTGACCTAATTAAGTCCCGACCAATCGTATATTGAAGCTATTAAGTTGTCTGCTCTGATCCTATCTGCTTTCGATCCGAGTAGACACCCAGAATGGCGAACTCTTTGGCAAAAGTATCATCTATCATCAGGATTTGGGTGCATATGTCGTGCGTACAACTTCCTAAACGACAGAATGACAAAGTCAAACACCATGTATTCAGGGTATTCTTTTTGTCCTCAAGGGCTACTTTCTATTATTGAGGGCACGCTAAAAAAGCAGCACATAAAGCTGTGTCATAATATGACCCTCTCGGGACCATTTCTGTTGCTTCGGGGAAACTATTAGAGTAGGGGTTAAATAAGGTTTGACTAGTCAACTTATAACACAAATGACAATATAATACTTCTGACATATTCGGATGCTATATATATATATATATATATACTCATAATTGACAATACATATATTTTGGAGTTTTATTTTCAGAGTATAATATTCAAAAAAATAAAACTTAAGAGTAAAATATTTAAATACGATCAATTATGCAAATATTTATTGAAAAAGAATGACGGATAGTTACATTAGTAAAAATCATAAAAAGAATCTACTTGAAAATTCAATAAAAAATTTCAATATCTATATTTTTTTCAATTAAACATTTCTAAGATAAAAAGTAAACATATGAAAAAAATTGATATCCTACGAATCTAATTATTCACAGAGTAAAAAAAAAACGGTATTTTGAGTTATTATTCTATTAAAAATAAAATTAGTATTAAATATCAAAAATTTAAAAAATAAATCATTATCAACAGAATTTCTGAAAATTCAACAAGATCAAAATTATTTTCAAATATTTGCTTGCGTTCTTCTGAATTTTAATGTACAAATTTTGATTGAGAATGAGCTCTATGGACTTGTAGACTAATGCTTGACACTTAGAGCCGACATTACAATCATGACCGGCTCTCCAATGAAATGAGACAATAGTCATAATGAGCAATCCAACAAATCAAGTCATAATGTCCATTCTATACATGACATGTGGGGGAAAAAATCAGGTAATAAATGAGCTATGTTGCAAATAAAAATTATTTTTATCAAATATGAAAATCAGTATTGAAGATCAGTATATAATTTTTTGAATTAAGTATACATATTGTATTATCATTTTCACTATATTTAAATAAATTGTGTATACACTATTGATGTATATAATTTGAATTTAAATACATCTGAAAAGAAAATATTCGATGACAAGATAACCAAGTGAAGTCATAAACATTGAATCACAATCTTTTGAAGCATCAAAGTTGCATATAATATGAATTTATACGATATTCACATCTACATTATAGTCATTTAATATTTAAAAAATTAATTGAAAATTATTTTTTGTTAAAATAATTTGATAATTGAAAAAACTGTGATAATTAGATTTCTCGAGTTTTTTTCTTATTTAGATCAATGTTTTATGTTTGAATCTAGTGAAAAATATATATTTAAATCACTATATTTTATTCAGAGGATTTTTAAAAAGTTATAATCATTGTACTGTTGATTGTAATTAATCTATAAAATTTACATTATTACGTAGTCATTTTCTTATTAAATTTTTATGCAAAATGTTTTTTTTTCATTAAGAATGTATACAGTTTTATAAATTTTTAGTATGAAAAATAATATTATCTTTAATTTTTAATTTTTAATTTTTAATTTTTAATTTTTTTTAAAGATATTTACTGGTTAATTGAAATTTTCAAATATTCAACTTTAAAAATTGCATCCAAGAAATGAAATCAGCATTAAATATTTTCATATATATATATATATATATATATATATATTGTTAGATAGTTTTATATAAGATTATATTTAATTCAACAATATATAAGTTTTATAACTTAATATATAAGTTTTATATAATTACTTTTTTTATAATACATATTTTGAAAAATATGAAAATAAATCAACATAAGAACATCATAATTAATAAGAAATATGTAATTTAAAATATCATAAAAGCAAAATGAATTGAGAATTAGACTACACATGATACAAAAATTTCACTCTTAATTAATTTATTTCAGGATAATAAAAAATAATAATAAAATTTAAAAACATATTATAAATAAATATTCGCATTTTATAATTTTATTGTGAGCAATATTTTTTTATAATATCTGCTTGATGTTAGACTCTCAACACAAAAAAACAAAACAAATACATAGTTCATGCAAACTAATTATATCTTGGTGAGTCTATTTTCACATCAAAAAATATCTTAAACTTACACCACTGAAAACTTTGCTTAGCTCTCTTATGTAATGACAAACTCACTTTATACTACGCAACAAAATGTTGTTTTTGATAGTATCCATCAAAACGGTGTTGGAAAATGTTGAGCTAATCTAGTTTATCATACTCAAATGTATTATAGTAAATATTTCTTCTTACAATGCAGTCAATATTTTGAAACTGTTTGAATTGAAACATAAATATATGTTTGATTATATTTGCTTAAAATTAATCGATTGTATGGTTACATTCTCACATCTTAGTAAAATAAGACATAGTTGTTTTCTAGATCTAAGAAGTATAGTTTTTTTTTAAATATACTAAAGATTGCAACGTTACAAGTTATTGTCGAGAGAATTTTTTTTCCAATAAGCCTAGATTATTAGAAGACAAACACACAAGACTCAATTAAAATACACTAATTGTTTTTCTTACACACACAATCAAGAAAAAATAAAAAAATGTGAGGTCCAAATTGCAAATTACATTCTTGAGAGGAGATTTTTTTCTGCAAAACCCTTTGTTTGTGTTGATGAGAGTTTCGATGAGCTCTTTTTTGTAGTGACATACTAACTAGCTCAAATAACTAAGGTTAAGCTAACCTTAATGAAAACAAGATCTCAGTTAATTCATAACGGATTCATCAATCAATTACATTTATGATGAACTTATGATATTTACATGAAAACATCAATAGACTATTTAATTGCTTCATGTAAACTATCTTTATGTTAAATAATTCACATCTAAACACTCATCATTTTTTTCATTTCAAACTTTTTGAAAGTTTTTATTTACACCAATGGGACTAATTTACTTTTCATCATGAATTTTTCATCTTTTCAAGTAATGATTTCAATGTTTGATGGCTAAAAATGGCTTTATTTATTTTTATTGTTTGATAATTTTTCTCAAAATTCATCAATTTTTGAGATATAAATGTTATTGGATACCAACCTTCTTCCATTGAGGTTCATTTCAATTCAGTAGTTATCTTAAGTGAACCTGTTATTTATATCTAGGTTGGTCGTCAGTGTTGAAACATATATTCCAAGGCTTTTGCAC